TCCACTCGTTGCTGAGGTGGTCTGCCCTGAGCATCCTCACGGATACCACTTCCTTACTCTCTTGCCTAGTACAATGTTTTCAATCTTCAGGACAAGGTCTTCTTGACAATGCATCTGCGTTGCCATGAGATTTCCCGCTGCGATGTTCGATCTCAAAGTCGTATTCCTGCAGTAGTTCAATACACCTCGCAACTTGCCCTTCTGAATTTTTAAACTGCAATAACCATTTTAGTGCAGCATGGTCAGTTCGTAAGTGAAATTTTCGCCCCAGAAGATATTTGCTAAAATGCTGCAACGACTTTACCACAGCTAGCAATTCGCGTCTTGTGACACAATAGTTCCTTTCCGGTTTTGACAACGACTTGCTGAAGTACGCTATCACGACCTCTTGGTCACCATTCCGTTGAGACAACACACCGCCAAGTCCTATATCACTTGCGTATGTGTCAACTATAAATTCTTTGCTTGCATCAGGGTATCCCAAAATAGGTGTTTTGCACAGACGGTCCTTGAGCTCCTGGAAATTATATATATTGCAACTTCCATCCCAGCAGAAATGTCGCTTCTCCTCGGTTAGCTTATGCAGAGGTTGGCTATATCTGCAAAGTTCTTCACAAATCGCCGGTAATAGGAGCACAAACCCAAAAATGCTCTAGCCTGCATCTTGTCTTTTGGAACCGGCCAATCCTTTACAGCTGCGATTTTCTCTGGGTCCGTGCGGATACCTTCTTCCGACACTACATACCCCAAAAAGTTGACTTGCCGTTTGAATAGTGAACATTTCTTCGGACTCAACTTGAGGTTGGCACTCTGAATCTTCATGAGCACGCGTTCCAGGTTTTGAAGGTGTTCCTCAAACGTACGGCCCACGATGATGATGTCATCCAAGTAGACCAGACAGGCATCGCCAATTAGCCCGGTAAGTACAAGTGCCATCAGCCTTTCAAACGTTGCTGGAGCATTGCACAACCCAAACGGCATTACTTTAAATTGCCACAGACCCTTTCCCGTCGAGAACGCAGTTTTCTCCTTGTCCTTAGGGTCAATTTCAACTTGCCAGTAGCCACTTTTTAGATCCAGCGCGCTAAGCAACTTTACTCCTGTAGGCATGTCCAGCGTGTCGTCAATTCTTGGCAAGGGATAGCTGTCCTTCTTAGTAACGTCGTTCAGACGGCGGTAGTAAACACAAAACCGCATGCTGCCATCCTTCTTCTTTACCAGTACCACGGGTGAACACCATGGACTAGATGAAAGTTCAATAACACCATCCTTCACCATTCCCTCAATCATGGTTTCCACTTCCTTTTCACGTGCTACCGGCAATCTTCTTGGCCGCTGACGGATAGGCAATTCGTCACCTGTGTTTATTTTGTGTTGAACTAAGCCAGTCTTTCCTACGTCAGCATCGTTTGATGAGAATACATCGGCAAACTTGAGTAACAACTTCTTCGCCTTGACCATTTCGGTCGGGAAGAGAACGCTTTGACAGTCTTCCAAAAGTGTGGTCACTCTCGTTTGTGCATCCTTGCTAAGGGTCTCACTCGATAGATATTGGCACTGACGTAACCAATTCACTTCCTCAGCAGTACCAACCAGCGTGCCTTTTTCTATAATCTGTTCCTGGTCACAAAGGTTCAGCACACGAACTCCTGAGATGTCAGTGGTTCTGACCAAGGTTCGAGCCACTTTCCATGGAAGGTCATTGTTTACCCTTTCCACAAGTACACAACGGTGAGCTTGCCCAGCGTTTCGAGGAAGACTAACCGGAACAATCGTTTCCGATCTCGGCGGAAGAACAATCTTCTTAATGCTGTACACGTTCCCTGGTAACGCTCCTTCCACAAAAAGTTCCTCTTGTCCACATTTCAAGACACCTTGCTTAACGTCAGTCGCACAACAATTCTTCCTCATGAAGTCTAGGCCCAGGATGCAGTCGTCCATTATATAAGCCACGATGACATTATGCAGGTAGATCATGTTGCCTAGCTTCAACTCCATCTCTTTCTTTCCACGGACGGGTATACGCTGACCGGTGGCTGTTACCAAATTAATGCGTTCTCGGTTGTATGCGGAGTCCCCAAGGAACTGACTTATAAGTTGGGATCTAACAACCGTACGAGAGGCTCCAGTATATATGGTCAGTTTACACGGCATTCCGTTGACCTCGCCCTTGATGATCAGACTGTTCCCATCATGGGTTTGTGAGATCGAGATCCTCGGGGCTCTTTTAACATCAGCCAGCACCCGCCCCGCAGTTCTGGCTTTTACTCGTTTCCCTGCTGCTGCTGGGCGGTGCTGTTGGCCGTACTACCCATGACGGCCTCGAACTGGATTTTGTAGGCCGACCAGGAAGAAGTCCCGTCGAACGGCGGCTTTGAATCCACGTAGCGAAGGTGTTGTAGCTACTACGGGAGCTGTTGTTCCATCCCCAAGTTTGAGGTCGTCCAGCGTTTTCTTCACGTTATCAACCCGATTGTTCACTTGGTCAATTTGGGTTTTAGCTTCCTTGATTTGGGTTTCAGCTTCCGACAGGCGATTGTCATGTTGAGCAACCCTATCCTTCACCTCCCTTATCTCTTTCCCAAAGGTAGCATGAAGGTCCTTCATAAGGAGCATCTGCTCTTCTAACCGACGGGCCTGTTCCTCTTGTCCGCCCCGCAGCTGCTCTTCCAAACGACACGACCTGTTCCTCTTGTCCGCTCTGCAGCTGCTCTTTCAGACTTTCTTGCCCTGCAGCTGCTCTTTCAACTGACGGACCTGTTCCTCCAGTCGGCGGACCTGTTCCTCCTGTCGGCGACCCTGTTCCTCCTGTTTGCGGACCTGTTCATCTTGTCCACCCCGCAGCTGCTCTTCCAACCGACGGACCTGTTCCTCCTGTCGGCGCGCCTGTTCCTGCAGCATCACCGTCAGAGCACGCGCGCCAATCGACTAAGCATCGAAAGTTCGAGTGTCGGGCTTCTAGAAGCTTAGTTCTTCGTTTCGATACTAGATGGCGCTGGCGGTTGAAATATTATTGATGTCATTTTCTGGAAAGCTCCCCTCGATCTCGTCCCCAACACTAGATGGCGCTAGTTCCGGGTACATATACGTCAACTTAGGCGCGCAACAGTAGGTTATAAATAAATAATCATAGAGTAACTGAATTTTTATTGCACTAGAGGATGGAAATTTTCATATTGAGCCTATAATACCCAACTTTTTCATAGAAAAGTAGTCTCTAACCATAAGTATTTATGGGTTAAAGTGCTATGGGTGTGGCTGAATTCGGTTACTTGAAATTTGACGGAGTATCCGCCGCGACCGATGTCGGTCGCTTTAGAGTTGAGGAAAGAAATACTTAAACCAGTACAGAGAGTTAAAGCAAAATATCGCAGTAGTGGTGAATACTTAGCTCGTGAGAGCTTCCCACTTTTACATTTTCTCTTAAGTTGTCGCTTAATAAGTTCTGTTTCTCTAACACCAATTTTGCAAGAACTATCCGTTCTTCTTTATCTATCAAATATTTATTATCCATATTCTGAAAAATTTTTTGTTGATAAACAAATCAGAAACAATACAACTGTTACTATAGAAACCATGGACTGTTATTACGGCCTTACTAATAAAGATTTACACACGACGTATACCAGAGTTATAACGTTAACATTACCAATAAACGAAATTTGACAGTTCAGTTGTATACATCTGTTATAACGAGTGCTTAAATTGTATGGGAAATTACGCAACCGTTATACAGTTCTCAACCTTTGTTTAAGACGTGTATAACCTGTATTTGACGTGTGGCGTTTTTGAAAATAATGGAATATTTAGATTTCGATATTTTTGATGAAATCGACCGTGAGGAACCACCAAGAAAAAGAAAACTTTACAAAAAACCGTTTCGATCCCTTTACTCTACAAGATAAAGAATTTCCAATGAAATATAGATTCAGTAAAGTATATATGAGAAAAATAGTTGACTTAGTTCAACGTGACATCGAACTACAAGCTAGTGGTGGCGGGCTGTCTGTAGAACTTCAGGTATGTACTGCTCTCAGAACGTGGGCTAGGCAAGAAGTTCAAGATGATGCAGCAGACATTCATGGACTTAGCCAACAGTCCATCACGAATATATGCCGAAGAGTAGCTCTTGCTTTGGCAAGTAAACCGGCAGAATTTATACGCATGCCTAGTACTTTAGAAGAGCAAGAATAAGTGGTTTCTGGATTTAGGAATATTTGTGGCTTTAAGCAAGCAATTGGTGCTATTGATTGCACACACATAAAGATTAAAAAAGTCGGAGGCGATAGTGCTCAATATTATATAAACAGAAAGGGGTTTTCATCCTTAAATGTCCAAGTAGTTTGTGATGCCCAATTAAAGATAAGGGACATAGTGGCACACTGGAGGGGCAGCACACATGATGCAAGAATATTTAGAGAAAGCCGAATTCGACAACGATTTGAAAATGGGGAATTTCATGCTCGTTTACTAGGAAATTCTGGCTACGGTTTAATAAATTGTTTGTTTACACCAGTCCCGAATCCTCGTATCGCTAAGGAGGAATCTTACAATAAATCACATATTTTTGGAGTTTGGAAACAGAGGTTCCGATGTTTATTACAGGATTTAATGTGTCACTGGAAATGCAAAATTATACATTGTTGCACTTGCAATATTACACAATATTGCCATTGAAATGAATGAAGGTATTGATTTTCTTGAATCAGTCATATCTGAAGATAATGGTGACCAACAAATGCTAAGGGAAGGTCTCGATAGCCGATCTGGTCAAGAAACAAGAAGATTATTCATTTTTAGTTACAAGAAATACACTTTTAGTTACAAAAATGTTTTGTTAATAAATAAAATAAAAAATAAATAAAATCAATTTATTTCAGACAGAGTCCATATAAGTGACATACATTATAATTAATTTAATTTAATCTTATTCAATTTAACTTAATTTGTTTGTTTAACATAAAAAACTATTAATTTAACATAAAAAGGTAAAAGATATTTTATTGTGGCAATTTTGATTTTAAAAGTAAAATTTCTAATTTAAGTTTTTCAACACGAAGCTGCGTTTCTTCTTTTTCCAATAATATTTTTTGGATTTGTAAATTATGTTCCTCTTTAATAAAACTATGAGCTTCCATCATATTTTTCATTTTTAAATCATGTTCTTTCTTTACGCAACTGACAAGAACATGATTGCGCTCTCTGGTTAAGTCTCTATCCTGTAATAAACATGTTATTATTAATCACAAATCACTAATCCCATAATTTAGTTATACTTAAATTAAACTACTTCTTAATATTATATTAAATTTTACCTCACGTTTGGTTGTGTGTATATTATCATTCATATGATTGAATGATAATTTCTGTTTCGTTCTATCTTTTTCATTTTGCATCTTGAAAGGTAGTGGTGTAATATTCTGGAATATTAACAAAAGTCATTCAGAATTCAAAAGATACTAATCAAAGTAAATTCAATCAACAAATTTAAAGTAATAAACCTCTTTATCATTATTATCTCCCGTAGTGATAACGTACTCTTGTGTTATTGTATTAACCGAGGACTTCTCCTGACTTTGAACCTCTTGATGCTAAAATAAAATAGAATATCACACACTGATGTCATAATCGTAAGATATAACATACTCATTCTGATACTAAACATTGTGTTAGTGCTAAGACCAAATAATTACAAAAATATAGTATGAGCTCACTGTTATGCTGTCACTGTCGAAGACATTAAAATCCTTGAGTCTCAAATTTCTGTGGAATCATGCTCAAAATGTCAATAGTTTAGGTCTGGGCTAAGAGGTTTAGGCCCTCCACCAGTATATTTGATGGATGTCTTTACTTGTGACATGTTTTTTTGGCATCAAGTTTCATTGTGCGCCACTGTTGCTTTACTTCAGCCAATTCTCTTACCAGGCTATCCAATTCACTAAAACTGAAAATGTATCAATCATAATATGCATAGTTTAATGTATACATTATGTTTAAAACTTACACAAAACTAACAAATAATAAACATTAAAAATATTTAAATATATATTTACACTAAAATGAAAACATACTCATTTTAAAAACATGAAATTAAAATATCTTACATATACTATAATAATTAACAACTTATCAAATTATACCTAACAAATATCTTAACTAACACTTAGGGGTTATTGTACTGGGAGTTTGACTGCTCTTTGATTTTGGATGTAAATATTAGTAAGCGCCTATGAAATATTCTTACACTACCATTAGCTTTTTTAGTATTTTGTGCAAGATTTTATATTCATATTTATACTTAACATAAGTCCACAGATATTTTATTCCTACTCAAAGCACATGTTACTTTCTTTTGTTTCTCAGTGAGTGTATATTCTTTTTTAAATTTAATTTCTTAAACTACAACTTGCATACAATAAATATGAAACAAAATTCATAAAATGTAGTATTTTACTAACCTTTTCATCACTTTCTGCCAAGCAATGGTCTTACTTTTATTAGTATTTGTATCAGTGTTTTTATTTTCTATGACGGGTACAAACTCCTTCATACAACTTTTTAATAAACTCTGAAAGATAATATACAAAGTTAGATTACAAATTGTGACCATATAAACAGTAGTATTTAAGAAACAGTATATAGTTTTAAATGTTTTTTCTAGTAAATTATCTTACCTTTTCTAATGCATCCCAATTTGCAGACAGTTTTCTTTTGACAAAGTTTAAATTACTATTAGCCATTATTACAGAATTGACGATGTTTTAACAATATAGTAGCTATTAACGAATTATTAAACCCAAACAACAAAATTGACGAATGACGATTGAATTGGAAACTGTCTGAAAGGTACGTTCATAACCTTATGAGGATAATAAATATGGCTTTGTCAAAATAATGTTCAGTTTTTATCGCCTAAAAACATTAGATTATTTCTAAATTCAATTAAACAATATTTTGGGCTAATTTTATGTGTCATTAATTACAAGAAGAGAATTTATAAGCTATTTATGTGTTTTCAAAATATCTCTACAATTTTACAATTGAGTTTCAAAACGTTTTTGATGAATGTGGCCAATGGTTTTTGTTTTAGCGAGTTTATAACTATACAACGGTTATACACCCGTTATTGGTAAAGAGCGTGTTAAAACTCTTACCCAAATATGGATTTATAGACTGTGCCCAAAGCTTATACAATGTATAAGTACACACTCGTTAAACAGATGTTTTAGATATTTTTATTGGTAAGACTGTTATTATGGTAATTAATAAGATTACTAATTATAACTTTAACAAACAGTAAAAACCGATTTCAAATTGCTAAAAAAATGTTATTTATTTGCAGGAGCAATTTCTTCCCCAAATTTATATAGATGGTTCTATATAAACCATCTATGGATCCCTGGAAGTTATAACCTATTTTCGAAAAAAAAGAATCATTAAAATCGGTTCTTTATCAACGAAGATACCTATCGCGTTACCACAGTTACATACATACACACAGAAGAACATACACTCGAATTGAGAACCTTCTCCTTTTTGAAGTTGGTTAAAAAGCAATAATTAGAATAAAAGGTAATGCCATCTTTTTGTAAATCTGGTTGACGTGGCAGATCTCTTTTTGCGGCAAAGAACTGTACAACTTTGCACTTTACAAGAACTTACACTTTGGCACAGGGAAGGACTTTTGTATGGCCGTCTCATATACTTATTATACTCTTTGCCGTCTCGTCCGGTACGGTACGGCCGGCAGCCCTAGTTGCTTTGTTTTAGTCTAATGGAAGCTTACTACTGAATCATATGTCTCCATTTGCCTCGTAAGAGGCATTCCAAAGTGGCAATCTCAATTATTTATTATTTTTTATTGTTATCTGGAAGATTCTACTGCCATATTCTTTTTCACTTTACCGCTGTTGCCTTTTACGACACTCATAGGACAATATAGGGTAGTAAATGTTCTTGCACCGCCAAAACACGTTAATTTTACTAGCTATGTTCATAATCATTTAATTGGAATGTTTGGAATTCGTCATCTGTTGTAGGGGTACATTATTAATTAACTGTACATGCGACAGATTTCCTTTCATGTGTATTCAAGTAAAATTACATTTTAGACACGAGAATGTAATTTCATGTCTAATGAAATAGTCTTGTAATTGGATTACTTTACTTATATTGAAATATGTACATAAGTATATAATACGTGTGTTATCGCTTCAGTGCTACTTTACTTCGATCTTTTCGGCAATCGAGCTTAACCCTTTCGCACCTGAGATTTTTGTTACTTTGATTTGAAATGAAAACTATAATATTGTTACTGGCCCGATTGTCTGACGTGCTCATAAATGTCATTCATTTTGTTCCGCAAGTCATTTGCATAATCGGTTATACTGCGTGGGGCATCAGGTGGTATCCCGGTGATCAGGTCCGCAGGCAGCCGTAATTCTCTTCCAAAGTTTGCGAAAGCTGGTGTCACTGCTGTACTTTCGTGAACAGAACTTCGATATGACAACAAAAACGGTTGTATGTGCTTGTCCCAATCTCGTTGCCGATTGTCTACAACTTTTGCTAGGTACCTCTCCAATGTCTGATTAAATCGTTCCACCCTTCCATCAGATTGCGGGTGATAAGAAGTCGTTCTTGTTTTATGAGTACCCATAACTCGGCAAGTTTCCTGGAATATTTGAGATTCAAAATTCCTTCCTTGATCGCTGTGAATCTCTAAAGGTACTCCAAAACGACAGAGATTTCATGAACTAGTTTATCTGCAACTGTTGAAGCTTCTTGATTTGGAATGGCGAAGACTTCTGGCCACTTAGTGAAGTAATCCATCACAACCATGAAATACTTGTTACCGCTTTCACTCTCCGGAAACGGCCCCGCCACGTCAATGGCTATTTTCTCCCATGGTACACCAACATTGTACAACTTCAATGCACCTCTACTACGAGTCTGAGGTCCCTTTACAGCCGCACAACTTGTACATTTGCGACACCAGTCCTCGACATCGTTTCGACAGTGGACCCAGTAAAACCGTTCTCGGATCTTCAGTAGAGTTCGTTTAACTCCCAGATGGCCTCCTGAATAATCATTATGGTACAGCTGTAGAACATCCGGTACTTTAGTTTTAGGGACAACCATTTGTAAATGACAGCTGTCTCCCCGAACATTTTCCCATTTACGACACAGAACTCCATCCTGAAGCAGCAAGCTGTCCCACTGGGCCTAATAGCTTTTAGTGGTTGAACTCATTGCTGAGACGTCGCTCCACTTAGGCTTGGGAGCACTGGCCTTCATCCATTCCAGGATCGGCTTGATGTCCGGATCTTCCTGCTGTGCACGTTGAAAGCTGTCCTTCCACTCGTTGCTGAGGTGGTCTGCCCTGAGCATCCTCACGGATACCACTTCCTTACTCTCTTGCCTAGTACAATGTTTGCAATCTTCAGGACAAGGTCTTCGTGATAATGCATCTGCGTTGCCATGAGATTTCCCGCTGCGATGTTCGATCTCAAAGTCGTATTCCTGCAGTAATTTAATCCACCTCGCAACTTGTCCTTCTGGATTTTTAAACTGCAATAGCCATTTTAGTGCAGCATGGTTAGTTCGTAAGTGAAATTTTCGCCCCAGAAGATATTTGCTAAAATGCTGCAACGACTTTACCACAGCTAGCAATTCGCGTCTTGTGACACAATAGTTCCTTTCCGGTTTTGACAACGACTTGCTGAAGTACGCTATCACGACCTCTTGGTCACCATTCCGTTGAGACAATAAACCGCCAAGTCCTATATCACTTGCGTATGTGTCAACTATAAATTCTTTGCTTGCATCAGGGTATCCCAAAATAGGTGTTTTGCACAGACGGTCCTTGAGCTCCTGGAATGCGATATTACAACTTTCATCCCAGCAGAAATGTCGCTTCTCCTCGGTTAGCTTATGCAGAGGTTTGGCTATATCTGCAAAGTTCTTCACAAAACGTCGGTAGTAGGAGCACAAACCCAAAAATGCTCTAACCTGCGTCTTGTCTTTTGGAACCGGCCAATCCTTTACTGCTGCGATTTTCTCTGGATCCGTGCGGATACCTTCTTCCGACACTACATACCCCAAAAAGTTGACTTGCCGTTTGAATAGTGAACATTTCTTCGGACTCAACTTGAGGTTGGCACTCTTAATCTTCATGAGCACGCGTTCCAAGTTTTGAAGGTGTTCCTCAAACGTACGGCCCACGATGATGATGTCATCCAAGTAGACCAGACAGGCGTCGCCAATTAGCCCGGTAAGTACAAGTTCCATCAACCTTTCAAACGTTGCTGGAGCATTGCACAACCCAAATGGCATTACTTTAAATTGCCACTGACCCTTTCCCGTCGAGAACGCAGTTTTCTCCTTGTCCTTAGGGTCAATTTCAACTTGCCAGTAGCCACTTTTTAGGTCCAGCGTGCTAAACCACTTTACTCCGTGTCGTCAATTCTTGGCAAGGGATAGCTATCCTTCTTAGTAACGTCGTTCAGACGGCGGTAGTCAACACAAAACCGCAAGCTACCGTCCTTCTTCTTTACCAGTACCACGGGTGAACACCATGGACTAGATGAAGGTTCAATAACACCATCCTTCACCATTCCCTTAATCATGGTTTCCACTTCCTTTTCACGTACTACCGGCAATCGTCTTGGCCGCTGACGGATAGGCAACTCTTCACCTGTGTTTATTTTGTGTTGAACTAAACCAGTCTTTCCTATGTCAGCATCGTTTGATGAGAATACATCGGCGTACTCGAGTAACAACTTCTTCGCCTTGACCAATTCGTTCGGGGACAGAACACTGCGACAGTCTTCCAAAAGTGTCTTCACCCTCGTTTCTGAATCCTTGCTGGGGGTCCCACTCGATATATATTGGCACTGACGTAACCAATCCACTTCCTCACAAGTACCAACCAGTGTGCCTTTTTCTATAATCTGTTCCCGATCGCAAAGGTTCAGCACACGTACTCCTGAGATGTCAGTGGTCCTGACCAAGGTTCGAGCTACTTTCCATGGAAGGTCATTGTTTACCCTTTCCACAAGTACACAACGGTGAGCTTGCCCAGCGTTTCGAGGAAGACTAACCGGAACAATCGTTTCCGATCACGGCGGAAGAACAATCTTCTTAATGCTGTACACGTTCCCTGGTAACGCACCTTCCATAAAAAGTTCCTCCTGTCCACATTTCAAAACACCTTGCTTAACGTCGATCTCACAACAATTATTCCTCATAAAGTCTAGGCCTAGGATGCAGTCGTCCATTATATCAGCCACGATGACATTATGCAGATAGATCACGTTGCCTAGCTTCAACTCCATCTCCTTCTCTCCACGGACGGGTATACGCTGACCGGTGGCTGTTACCAAATTAATGCGTTCTCGGTTGTATGCAGAGTCCCCAAGGAACTGACTTATAAGTTGGGAACTAACAACCGTACGAGAGGCTCCAGTGCTATGGTCAGCTTACACGGCATTCCGTTGATCTCGCCCTTTATGATTAGGCTGTTCCCATCATGGGTTTGTGAGATCGAGATCCTTGGGGCTCTTTTAACATCAGCCAGCACCCGCTCCGCAGTTCTGGCTTTTACTCGTTTCCCTGCCGCTGCTGGGCGGTGCTGTTGGCCGCACTACCCTCCTGAGATCGTTCAATTTCCCTTTCTAGGGTTCGCTTAGGGCAGCTGGATCGAAGATGGCCCTTTTCCCCACAGCCATAGCACCTTGGGCTGTATCCTTTGTTGCGGTCGCGAACTGTAGCTGCTGCAACCTCCCTGACGCGATGGAAACGATGATCCTACCGCACGGCTTCCACTTCCAGTGCATGGGCCAAGGCGTCCTTAAGCGTCTCGTGGTGCCCGAGCCTCACAGCAGCTCTGACTTCCAGGTCGCGGATGCCGTCGGTGAATGTCTGCACCAGGTTCCCTTCAATGAGCGCAGGTACAGACCGGTATGCTTTTCGCACCAGCGGAGACAAGTGGAGAACACTTCTAGAGCCTACTGCTGCAGGTTTTCGTTGCTGCGCTGCACACGATCTTTAAGCTGCGCACGAAAGACGTGTTCCAGGTGAGCGTCGCCATATCTCGCCTCCAATGCCTCAAGGAGTTGCTCATAAGTCACTTCCTCACCGAGAGCTTCCAGAACTGTTAAGGCCTGGTCGCGCAGGCCTAGTGTGAGAGCAGTCATGGCCTGACTTTTATTCCAGCCGTTCGCCTTCATAACAGCCTCGAACTGGATTTTGTAGGCTGACCAGGAAGAAGTCCCGTCGAATGGTGGCACCTTGAACCCACGTAGCGAAGGTGTAGTAGCTACTACGGGAGCTGTAGTTCCCTCCCCAAGTTTGAGTTCGTCAAGTGATTTCCTCATGTCAGCCATTACGTTGTCAACCCGATTGTTCACTTGGTCAATTCGGGTTTCATGTTCTTCGATTCGTGTTTCAGCTTCCGACAGGCGGTTGTCATGTTGAGCAACCCTATCCTTCACCTCCCTTATCTCTTTCCCAAAGGTAGGGTGAAGGTCCTTCATGAGGAGCATCTGCTCTTCCGACCGACGAGCCTGTTCCGCCTGCTGAGCTTCCAACCGACGGGCCTGTTCCTCCTGTCGGCGGAGCTGTTCCCCTTGTCCGCCCCGCAGCTGCTCTTCCAACCGACGGACCTGTTCCTCCTGTCGGTGAGCCTGTTCCTGCAGCATCACCATCAGGGCGCCTAAATCAGGTGCTGCAGATGCAGGAGCTACTGACGAACCGGCCTCCGTTGCCGGCGGCTGGCCCTCCGACGTCTGCGGCATTGCACCACCAAATCTTCTCTGATCCGTCTCATGCTGGCGTTGACTGCGGGTACGAACACCCTCCGTTTCCTCCTTAGGTAAAATCGGTATGATTTTATCCCACTTCTGACACCAATTGTTACGAGCTTGAGGTTCGTGACAATAAAAATTGCCGATAAAATTACCTAAATTAACACTTTAATTTACTTTACACAAATTAAAACTAAAAACACTAATAATTAAACACACTAATTCACTTAATTCCGCTCCGAAGCTTCGCTTGTGTCGCCGAGTTCAACTCTGCCCCGATCGCATCTTGCAGCGCCTATTTATATAATTAGCAAAGAAGCGTCCCGAACATTCAAGTAAATGCGCGCCAGGCAACGAGTATTCGAGTGTAGATTTTCCAGAAACTTAGTTCTTCGGGTGGCGCTGTCGGTCGAAAGATTTGTGATGTCATTTACTGCAAAGCTCCCCTCGCTCTCGTTCCTGACACTAGATGGCGCTAGTTGACTTATTCATGCAACAATATTTTGGCAAAGAAGTGGTAATATTAATGTAAAAAATAGTAAAAAAAATCCAGCGTACACCAGAACTCTGGAAAGTCGATAGCACGATAGTGAACTCTAGGGCTGACTTCTACCAACTCACGATCGTGCGTTTTTAAGTTTTGATGAGATTTTAATGCATTGATGGTGTCAGCTTACTTCAAAAAATATTTATAATGAAATAAAACGCATCTGGTTATTAGAAAAGACTTATTTAATTATTGCCAACATTACAGTTTAGGTACAAAATTTCAGTCTTTTGTTTTCATTGTAATAAAAATGCTCTTTCAGCAGACAACTTAGAAATTAAAAGAAAGGAAACAAAAATATTTTTATGAAATAAACAATGAGATAAACTCATGCTTCTTAGGAAACAAAAACTTAACACAAAAACATAGAAATCAACTCAAAAGCCTTTCTGGCTGTACAAAAATAACATAAAACTTAATACTTAGATAATCTTTTGAAATATCTTTCTAAATCACAGTCTTTACGTAGGAAACGTTATCAAATAAGACTAGTTTCTTTGGTGGTACAAAAAAAGCAGTCTTTATCACGACTCAAGCATAAGTAAATATCACATTTACGGCACCTAATTTTAGAGCGAGATGAACAAATCTCTGAGCGACATTTGCGAGGAGCCTTCAAGTCGTCAAAAATAGGAAAGTGTTCGTAACCATCAAACCTCTTAACCACAGACGGATGATTAGCGGGTTTGTATCTGCCCGAAGTTTGTGCCTGCGTTTCAAGTAATGGGGATGAATCGCGCCGATCTCTGTCAGGCGTGCAGATGTGTGTCTCAGCAACTTCAAATCTGAATGAAAGGAGATCTAATATTCGATTTTTAGGAATGCCTTTAGCCAATGAGTCAGATCTGTAGAGCCGCCACGAATTTACCATTGCTAGGTCTATAAAGTGTAGTATGACCTTGAGAGTCCATTTACGGGTCTTCATGAACGTACGGTAATATTCCATAGATTGGTCCAAAACATCCACCCCGCCCATGAAAGAGTTGTAGGATGTTACAATTTTTGAAGCACCAACATCGATGTAGCATTTTTCTGTTTTATTGTACCGCTTTACTATGTCGGTTGCCGTGCCGCCAGTACAATTTGATGCTGTCAATACCGCCTTGCTGTCCTTCCATTTTACCAAAACTACGTCGTTTGATACCCTTTGTTCAATTTCTCCTCGTGTCATTTTTTTGTCATCTTTGAACTTAAGCTGCTGTCGATCTGGTACCCGGTTAAGCATAATTGTCCCTGTGCCATGATAGTCCATTTTCGTTAATTCTTCCAACAGGGGAACCGTTGTAAAATATCGGTCAAAAAAAATGCAGCTCCCGCGTGGAACACTTTGACTCAAGCGAAGAACTACAGCCGGTCCAAGCCCCAAAGGATGCGAAAGAGCGGGATTGTTGCCATAATAAATTTCAAAATCCACCATTAGCCCTTCACTAGTAGTAACCACGAAATTCTTAAGACTCACTGGGCGAGGCTTGTTCTTTACAAGCTGGCGAAGATGACACTTGCCAGTGAAAGGTATCATTTGTTCGTCAATCGAATACCTGCCCGGGGTCCTTAGAATTTTGTTGCAGCCTTCTCTCACAATGTCGATCATCGGCTGAACCTTCCAGAGAGGATTATTTGCTTCCGATTCCGAATCCACGATGTGCAAACTGTTTCTTAAAGTTGTCAGTCTATCTCTTGTCATTGCAGAAACAATCATGTCAACTTTAATATTTCTTCGCCAGTACATTGCGATCCTGGGATATGATAGTATACCCATCAGTAGATGGATACCAATCAGTTTTTTTATTTCCGGTTTGGTTGTATTTAAAACTCGCCCAGTTTTTCTTAAATAGTATAAGTTTGTACACAATGCCATGCGCTCGTAAAAATTATCATTATAATAATCATTATAATATTCCACCGGCGATCTTATTTCATTTGGTTGTGGATGACCTGAGTAGTTATGTGATTTATCGATGTAATCAGTTTTCTTCCATAACCTTTTACGAGCAGGCAATTTCACGTGTTTGTTTTGACTTTTTAGAACAAGATGGGCCTGCTTCACTCTTATTCATGTTATCAGATGTAGACTTCCTTTTAGACATTTTACCTTTAATATTTTCCGATTTCACAGCTGCCGCAGATAAGCGAGGCGGAGAGGATAGCTCAACTTCACCTTCTTCATCATTTTCCAGCTGCAGAGGAATAAACTCTTCATCGTCGTCGTCGAAGTCCAACTCGGAACAGTTACCATCATTGAGGATGCCCAAGACGAGGTCATTGTTCAATGTCATGCCTGTAGTTAAAGAAATAAATCGAAAAATAACTTAAAAATGAATGAACTCACGATCATGCGTTGGTACAATTGCAACCCAGATATCACGACAGTGAGCTGACAATTTTGTCGTAAATTAAGTTGGTAATTACTAAAAATATAGAAGAAAGTTATAGTCATTCAGATGAATCATATACTTAATGATGTAATACAATCATAATATCAATGATTTCTTACGAAATTTGAAAAAAAAATAAATATAACTTACGGCGTCCAGTGACGGGGTCAAGAAACGCAGCCATCTTGTCGGTGCGCTCGCGTGTACTGATCGCGCTAGACACCAAAACCGTTTCCTATTGGATAGATTGATGAGCGCACGACCATGCGATGTCGGTTTAACGCGAAGAAACGGATTTGGCGCGAACTTATAATTTTTCAAAGAATAAACTCACGATCGTTTCATTCGGGTGCGAAAGGGTTAACTCGCGTTAGAAAAATAATTTCTCAGGGATTACACCTGTTTAGAGTATCTCGTAAAAAGTATACATTATTATCTAAGTACACAATTTCATCATACAATAAATCGTTACAAATATTTTCGAGAAATACGAGTAATTACATATAAGAGCCGTGGTAGTTCAGATGGTTAGCGCTCGCTGTAAATTTCACAATACGCGAGCAAACCGGGTTCGATCCCCGCCGGTATCAATAAAATTGTTAATTGCAATTTTAATTGCTGACTTACCACGTGCTCGGCGGTGAAGGAAAAAATCGTGAGGAAACCTGAATGTCTGAGAAATAAGAAAAAAATATTTCGAAGACGTGAAGTTCACCAACACGCCCTAAAACCCTCTCAGAAATGAGAGGATGCCTGTGCCCAGCAGTGGGACGTACATAGGCTGTAACTTTACTTTTACTTTTACATATATTTAATGAAATTACTATTTTATGTATAAACAATTAAATGGGGTTAATTGTTTTATATATTATAAAAATGATTTAGATACTGATAATATACTATAATCAAACGTCTTAGACCAAAGCTTTGATAGTGAAGCTTGAACGGTGGTTAAAAATGTATGTAACTCCGCAATAAAATATATATTTAGTATTAGTGTATAATAACTTATTTTTGGTCAGCTGTGGGAACTCGTAAATTAGACCACTAAAGCAGAAAAATATTTTTTTACGAAACGTTACTTCCACACTAGGAATTTCTATTGTACCGTGGAGGCAGATTACATACATAAATTGCACACGGATAGTATCCGGACCCAGACTATTTACTTCTGGACCATACATGTTTCGAACCCACGGCCCTTGGCCATAACTCATCGTTGAACCATTATGCCACGGAGCCTTTAGCACAACAAAATAAAAATGTTTGATGACATCTCGTGCTCTTAGATGTGGCCGACACACGCTCCCTAGCCGTATGAGCTATTCAAAAGATATTCTCAACGACGAAATTACAAATCATATTGTGCGGGCAACGAACGCAGAAAACGAATTTTTCCAAAAAAAATTATTTTTCGCCCCTATAAACCGCCATATTTTATATTGTTCGAATCGTTTTTAAGAACGCGATTACAAACAACCGGTTGCCCAACCGCTTGCCACACGTGGCTACTGTGGTAAAATCCTCCATGAGGAAATCTATGAGGAAGGCCCATGTTCAGCAATGAACTTTTATAGGCTTTATTGAATGGATTACAAGCAAATATATATCTTGCTCGTATAACAGAAAAGCGTAATCTCGTTATCGCGCTTGTTTTGACAAAATGTTAAAAGTCCAGTTGAGTAGCGTTTAGGAAATCACAACACAACATCTTCTCGCCCAGTATTCCTCACGATTTAAAAACAAAAGTGTAAAATCAGTTCTTAGCCTAATGTGTATCTACAACAGTCTGCATTTCGACGCTACTGAACGCGATAATTGCAGTTAAGGATCTTGGTTCTGAAGTAATCTCGAGTGAGGCATTGTTCACCTGGTTATTGGCGCAAAAGCGACCTTTCTTCCTTTGTTTAGCGCTTGACGGTACTATAGTTTGGTAATTAATAATGTTGTCGGGCCCGATGCTCATCCCCGCCATCCTGACTGAGCGACATTAAAATTTCACTTGGGAGTGGTCGTTCGCCTTTAAGTCCTTAGGAAGCTGTCTTGGTCCGTTGTGGACACAATCAATCTTACGGCGCGTTAAACGAATACGAACTTTTGGATGGTTACAATCTTTAGGTGTCAAATAATACAATAAAATAAAATAGAAATAACGTAAACAATTACATATATAGCCAAATTAATATAGGCATAATGATAAATTGTTATATAGTTAGTAAAAAAAAATTGGACGTCATTTTTCTTCCAATCTTGCTGTACTAAATATTTACGTAGTTCCGCTAATTTTCGTTGCAAAAATAATAGCGCTGCTGTCGATTTGTGAATACTTTCATTTATGGCCGTATTTGACTTCCGCACAAAATTAGGAGATGCGACGTTGCCGTTCCGTCACCGTTGCCAACGTGTTACTTGTATTTGGTGATATATGGTTATGACTGCCTCGTTGGTCTAGTGGTTATAGTAGTGCGACTGCTGATCGTGAGGTCCTGGGATCGAATCCCGGGTCGGGCCAAAAAATCAATTATTGAGTTTTTCTGTCAAGAAATTCTCAATAGCTGCCCGGAGTCAGGAAGTTGGCGGTGTATCACTCCCGTGCCTCGGAAAGCACGTAAAGCCGTTAGCCCTGCGCCTGATCTCTCTCCGGTCGTGTCGGTTTACCGTCCCATCGGATTATGAGAATGAGGGAATAGAGAGAGCACAAGTGGTTGCGCATACACTTGGGCACTATAATCCTGTCCTGCGCCGAAGGCTAGTCTCCGTTGAGATAGGCCGACGTGACAGTAATTCGGCCTGCAGGACATTATTATATGGTTTATACTGCGCTTGGTACTAGTAATTTTACTTTTAAACTTGTTTTCTTAACCTTACATTTACCTACACATAATATGAACGTCAGAATATCCTAAAACTTTCATACTGAATGATATTTGACACTCGTATTTTTGAATTTAGTTATATTTTTATAAATGTAGATGCGGACGTCGGCTTATCGGTTTATTTCATGCTGCACTATATTTTAACATTTTACATTTGGTACTAATCTGCCTGCCGTGTAGTGGCGGTTAAGAATATCCACTACCGCATATCTTCCCGTGGGTGTCGTAAAAGGCGACGGAGGGAAACAGGCAGGAGATGGGCAGCAGCATCTTCCTGATAACAGCAACTGTACGACAAAAAAAACTGCGGTTGCCAACCCGCTCGCCAAGCGTGACAACTATGGCAATATACCCCCCCATGAACAAATACACAAATAGACGGCCCCCAGTCCCCGGCGGCCCCGCTATTCCTGACTACGGTGGCGACCATGGTAACGGCGGGGCAGGGGGTGCTAAGAATCTCCGGTGGAGGTTCGGTTGCCACCTACGACGACTCGACCTGGCAACATTTAACGCACGCACACTGAGGATTGACGAGAAGATCCTGGATCTGGAAGAAGAGATAGACAAGTTGCGCTGGAGTAATATAGGATTATCCGAGGTCCGAAGAGAGGGGGAGGCCACGGTGATTCTCGAATCCGGCAACTTGTTCTATCACCGGGAGGGCGACCGTCTGTCCCAAGGAGGTGTCGGATTTACCGTTCACAGTCTCTCGTCAACAACGTTGTAAAGATTGGGAGTGTGTCTACGAAGGGTCGCGTACCTGATACTCAGAATCACCAAACGGTATTCGCTGAAGGTCATACAGGTTTACGCACCAACCTCGACACATTCCGATGAGGAGGTGGAGGAAATGTATGAGGATATTTCAAAAGCCATGCATTCCTCCAAAACCCACTACACGGTGTTGATGGGAGACTTCAACGCAAAACTAGGCACAAGAGAAAACGGTGAGCTGAAGTTAGGGAAATTTGGAGTAGGGCAACGGAACCGAAGGGGCCAGCAGCTGGCCGACTTTATGGAGAAATAGGGACTCTTTATGATCAACTCTTTCTTCCAGAAGCGGCCCCACAGGAAGTGGACCTGGTCGAACCCAGACGGTTCGACAAAAAATGAGATTGACTTCATTATGACGACCAGACGCCTACTGTTCAGTGATGTCTCAGTGATCGCAAGGGTGAAAACTGGCAGCGATCACCGAATGGTTAGAGGCACACTGAACCTAAACGTTAAGTTGGAGAGGTCTCGTCTAATGAAGTCAACGCTCCGTCCCCCTCGTGCTCTAATCCAAAATCCCGAAAACTTTCAGCTCGAGTTACGTAACCGCTTTCCAGTGCCTACAAGATTGCAATGCAGTGGACGATATGAATGACAAGCTCGTGGAAACTGTCCATGCGGTCGGAGCTAAGTTCTGCAAGACCCGCCGCAGAAGAACACAAAAACTCTCCGATCACACTCTTAATCTCATGGCTGTTAGACGGGAGATGAGGCTGCAATCGTCAACAGATTTGACAGCATACAGGCAACTGAACAGACAGATCTCCAAATGCATGCGGCGAGACTTACGCAACTTTAATACTGCTCGTATTAAAGAAGCGATCGAGCGGAACCAGGGCTCCAAAGTCTTTGCCGGAGATCTGTCTGCCCGTAAGAGCCAACTGTCAAGGCTGAAGACTGAGTGTGGCAGCATCGTTTCCGAGACACCTGAGATTTTGAGTGAGATTGAGAGGTTCTATGGGCAGCTGTACACATCATCGTTGGAGCCACACGCAAGTGTGAGTAACGATCCAAGAGCAAGTCTTATCCGACACTATTCCGATGATATCCCGGACGTCAGTCTAAGCGAGATTAGAATGGCTCTCCAGCACCTTAAAAACGGCAGGGCCCCAGGCGAGGATGGAATTACAGCGGAGCTTCTGAAAGCGGGTGGAACACCGGTACTTGAAGTCCTTCAGAAGCTCTTGAATTCCGTCCTCCATGGTGGCACTACTCCAGAGGCGTGGAGCAGAAGTGCGGTGGTCTTGTTCTTTAAGAAAGGCGACAACGCTCTCTTGAAGAACTACAGACTGATTTCCCTTCTGAGCCGCGTCTACGTGCTGTTTTCGAGAGTCATTACGAATCGTCATGCACGCAGACTCGACGACTTCTAGCCTCCCGAACAAGCCGGTTTCCGAAAAGGCTTCAGTACCATAGACCACATACATACCCTGCGGCAGATTGTACAGAAGACTGAAGAGTACAATTTGCCACTTTGCCTGGCGTATAGGGACTATGAGAAAGCCTTTGATTCCGTCGAAATTTGGGCGGT